TGAGGGCATATGTTTGGAAGATACAAGGATGAGGTCTAAAGGAAGAATGCCAGGGTGTATTATTCCCAAGGGCAGACATGTTCTTGGGGATAAATACTCCTGTACAGCAGTAATCAACATGCAAGTACGAGAAAGTACCCTAAGATGGGCCTAGAGAGCAATTGGGAAGGCAGGCTCTATGCGGATCTATTCCCAGCAAGATGAATATCTCCACTGATTCCCTAAGCATTGTCCTTCCTAGGGCCTCCACAGAATTGCATTATTTTTTCTAACACTAAACTTCAGACAATGCTGAGCCAGTGGCATACCTTTTACCCTGACATAAGTAATGTGACTAATTGACTACAGAAACTGTCAGTACTTTGTGTCAAGTATTTCCATTGTCCTTACTGAGGTTACAGGTATCAGAAAGCCAGTTAGTCTTCTATTAAAAGATAACGTGTTGTAAGAAAATAAAATTCATGCTATTCCAAAGGAAGAAAGATAAAATCATTGATGGGCCTTTGTATCTTACAAGAATAATGAAATTTTCACTTCTGTGTTAGAACTGTTTTTCCCTGTGAGGTTTTCTTTGAGCCAATTTTCAAATATACCTTGCTAGCCTGAATTCTGAAATGTGAGTTGGTATCAGAAAATCAAGCAAATTAGGCAGAATTTCTGAGTGTGGTTGATCTTCACATGGGTCACCTGATAACATTCATCTTTTATCATCCACATTGTTTAATTAGGAAAAATTGATTGTTTTCTCCCAAGACTAAAGGTGATACAAAGTATATTTCTTCAAAAGGTTCTGCTTTGATAGTGAGTGAGGTCTGTTTTCCTTGTTCATCATTTTATGCTACTGCCTCTTAAAAAGGACTAAAGTATATGTATCTTGGGATAGCACAAAAACATTTTAAAGTTCACAATTACGAAAGAAACCTATGAATAACTTAATGTCTTCAGACCTAAAGAGTGTAAAGAATACTAAAACTTCAATATATCACTTGCCAGGAATAAACATTCTCAGTCTTTTGTAAAAGGGAGAAAAATTTTTGCATACATTTTTACTCTTTAAATAAAGACACTTATACTGTCATAATAACAATTATGTATTTCTTTGTGGTTTTTATTTTTACTGTAATTTTACATAAAACAGTTATTTTCTATTTTTACTCAGATAAAAGTATTTGTGCATAAAATGTAAAAAAATAGTAAAATGAGAAAAAATAAAATATACAGTATGTTAAAAAAAAAAAAAAGAAGGCCGAGGTGCAGTAGAGTGAGTAGGGTGTAGTTGACATTTGTTTTCTACTTGTTTTTTGTCACCCATCATTCACAAAATTTATATGGAGAAACAATGTCAGGTGCCCTCTGGAAAACTTATAAATTCCACACTGTAGAGTTGAGTTCTCTTCTATCGGGACGACCTATTTTAAGTGTGAAGATGTGCACAGTCTTGGTTGAAAACAATGCTCTGTGGAAGTTCTTGGTGAACCCCCAAAGATCTGTATCCCTGGTGCAAGCACCAAGATTTGGATTGTGAGCTGCTGATGTGCTGAGGGAGCTATACTATTGCTCCACCATGCCCATGAAGATCACAGGTGGCAGTTCCTACCTGGAAGGTGGACTGTACACACTAAGGGCAATTTCTTACGTGTATAATCAGGCATGGATGGAAGACAGATATCACCTGTCCTAAAGAGAGAGTCTCTTTGCCTCACAGTAGCCCTGAAGAGAATGTTCTGATGCTCGACAGACCCATGTACACTTCTGACAGATTGGCTTTAGTAAGACTTGCTGCTTGGCATCAAGTAAATGGTACTTGTACCAGATAGAGAAAGGGGGGAAGACACTGATCATGATGGGGGAATGATGAAGCATAAACCTTTGTTCCAGCAGCAATGTCACCCTTCGCCCTCCTCATTTTGTTCTTAATTTCCCTCTGACTACTGATGTCTTTCCCTTGCTTTCAGCTTTATTTAACCTGATAAGTAGGTGGTTCCCTGGTCTCCATTGTTACCACTGACAATTGACAGATGGTTTTGCTCTGCAATAGTAACGATTTGGGCATCATGAAGAGATACCTGGTTTGCTCATGCTCATGGTGTCATACCAATTAGGAAATTGCACAGGTGAGGACATTCTCATGCCCTACATGGCAAAGGTATTCTATTCTATCCCCAGACCCTATTACAATCCAGCCAATGCCCGTGGCAACAGCACATCCCAGACAACCAACTGAAGATTCTCCCTTCTGTGTAACCCTCTGATCACTGATAACATTCTCTAAACATGACTAAGCCACCATATACTCAGAATTTATACTGCTGTTCTTTGCACATATGAAAGAACCTATCTTCCTTCCTGCTTAGAGGTTATGAAATAGTCAATGAAGTAATGTGGGCAGCCATACATCATCATTAAGGATAAGCTAAGAGGCAGGGAACAGAGCTCCTATCACACTTAACCAAGGAGGCAAAGGTCTTTTAAGGGAAGGTGTTTATTTATTTCTCATAAAGAACTCTAGGGGACTCTTTATCTTCTAGGTAAAACTATTTAGAAGGAAAATGAGGCAATCAGCAAAAGTTTAACTCACTAATTCCTCTCTCTACCCACACATCCTGTATTACTTTTTAAAAAAGATTTATTTATTTTTTTATTTGCAAGATAGAGTTACAGAGAGAAGTTGAGACAGAGAAAGAGGTCTTCCATCCACTGGTTCACTCCCCAGATGGCCGCAACCACCGGCCAGAGCTGCACTGATCTGAAGCCAGGAGCCAGGAGATTCTTTCGGGTCTCCCACGTGGGTGCAGGGGCCCAAGTACTTGGGCCATCTTTTACTGCTTTCCCAGGCCATAGAAGAGAGCTGGATGGGAAAAGGAGCAGCCGGGACTTGAACCGGCATCCATATGGGATGCCGGCACTTCAGTCCAGGGCTTTAACCTGCTGCACCACAGCGCTGGCCCCAAGTCCTGTATTACTTAAAGCCACAACCCCCCAGAAAAACTCATGAACACACCAGCTGCATTCAAACATTTATTGGGGAGGCAGGCGCCGTGGCTCACTTGGTTAATCCTCAGCCTGCGGCACCAGTACCCTGGGTTCTAGTCCCTGTTGGGGACTAGATTCTGCCGGATTCTGTCCCGGTTGCTCCTCTTCCAGTCCAGCTCTCTGCTGTGGCCCTGGAAGGCAGTAGAGGATGGCCCAAGTGCTTGGGCCCTGCACCCACACAGGAGACCAAGAAGAAAGGAAGCACCTGGCTCCTGGCTTCGGATCGGTGCAGCACGCCAGCCGTGGCAGCCATTGGGGGCGGGGTGAATCAACGGCAGGAAGGCCTTTCTCTCTGTCTCTCTCTCTCTAACTCTGCCTGTCAAAAAGAAAATTTATTGGGGAGATTCCATGTTCTAAACCATGAATAAAACATTTTGGAGGCAGAAATTTACTCTCCTGGAAGTTCTAGAAAGGTAGTTTGTGCTAATGACTTGGAGACAAATCTCTTAACACAGTTCCTTTAGCAGTAGAAGGTTCATATAGAGGGACCTGGCAGACTTGATGCCTGAGGTGAGGCTTAGATGGAGCAGAACCACTTGTAGTGAACAGATGACAGATGCCTCTGAAACAATATCTGATCCTTAAATTCCACAACTTTCTGAGGATGTCAGTCACCATTTTTCATGAGTCCACTTCTTGTGTGATCTCTGGCCAGTAAGGGCAGCTTCCTGGCTGCAGGACCTGCTGCTTGTGAATTTACAGAAGGGGACAATGTAGTGCAAGGGACGACTCTGGACCTGTGTCTGGGCCTTGTGCTGACTCTCCCACACTTCACTGGGGAGGAAACTTGTCTTCCAGGACTTTCTCAACACTCATCTTCATTTTCTGATCTTTGTTAGTCCCTGTAAGGGCAGCCATACCCTGAGCCAGGTCTCTGCTCTGCACAGAGGATAGGCAGCGGCTCTTTTCCAGGGGGATTTCATACCCCTTTTCATTTATGCTCTGAGAAAGCCACTGGAGAAAGTGCTTTATGAGTTGTCTAAGAAGGTTTTCATGATACAAGTGGTCTTGTAAAGAAAATGTGCATCAAGAAAAAGCTGTCATGGATTTCAAATTGTTTTGCACTTAAAGAAACTTAACTTCATTTTCCTGCACATTTATCAATGTACTTTTATAATTTGTGCATGCTTAGATTTATGAATTTTGAACAATTATTTTAATTGCATGTGTGACATTCCCTTTAGTTTAAAATGGAATAAAAATTTAAATTTTCTACTTAAAATTCACAAAATTGTATAAAAAATCTGTGCTTGATATAGACAAAATCTTAAGACCTGATGGAAGTAAAACTTCTGAGAAACAACAAAAATGCCAGGGTTAACTTCGGAACTTTGGTTCTCATGGGGTGTAATACTGGTACACCCTAAGCCAAAGGACAAACGCAACCAGGAAATATCTGAGTGCTAATTTGAATGAGTGTGCCAAGCTCTGTCTAAAAGATGAGTGTGGAGGGGCTGGCACTGCGGCAGAGCAGGGGCACTGGTACCCCATATGGGTGCCAATTCCAGTCCCGGCTGCTGCACTTCTGATCCAGCTCCCTGTCAACATGCCTGCAAAGGCAACAGAAGATGGCCCAAGTCCTTGGGCCCTTGCATCCAGGTGGGAGACCCGGAAGAAGCTCCTCACTCAAGGCTTCAGATCAGCCCAGCTCTGGCTATTGTGGCCATTTGGAGAGTGAACCAACGGATGGAAGATCTCTGCCTCTGTCTCTGTCTTTGTCTCTCTTTCTCTCTCCGTAACTTTACCTTTCAAATAAATAAATAAATCTTTAAAAATTATGAAGGTGGAGCTGGAAGGAGGGATCTAGAAAGTCTAGACAGGTGGAGGGATCTCCTGAGTAGAGGTGAGAGCTGCTGACTGGATGGTGGAAAGGGGCCATGGCTCTACCTCCTTCTCTTTGTGCCCTCCATAACCTCAGGAGCCCTTTGTGACAAGGAGGGAATAGCCATAATCCTCAGTCCCAAAGAAAACCCCAGGGCTCAGTTGTCTAGTGCAAAAGTATGAATCAGATGATGGAGAATCATCCCTTGCCTCTGAAAAGCACCATTGCCACATGGCTGAGGCCCAGCTCCACATTGTGGATGGTGGATATCACCCTCCCCTTCTTGTGTGGAGTGGGGCTCTTCCTCCTGTTATTCCCCTGCCTCAAGAGTGACCCATCCTCACCACTGCTAGGAGGAAGGGCGGCATCAGGAAGGTAAGCAGCTCTTGGCTGTTTTTTCCTTTATATTATTACTTCCACTTTTGTGAGTCAAATAGACTCCAAGTAGGGAAATATCAGGAACAGATAGAGCATTATCTTTCTAGGGATAGGTGTGACATAGCAGAGGGTTACTGTGGGTGCTAGGATTTGGTCCAAAGCTCTACGATTATCTCTGTGGGTGTGCTGGAGGGCACCAGGGCAGAATCAAACACCATGACTCAGCCTCTCAGGACTGGATGACTGAGGTGGAATATTTGGGGGAGGACAGGCCCTGAGCACTGGTTCCTTGGTGGCCTTCCTGTGGCAGGTGCTTCAGGACCAAGACTTTCCTGGTTGTCTGGCTGATCTAAGGGCTGTGCTGAGCCCTGAGAGCCTCCATTCAGAGGCTGGAGTGACCTCTGGCCTTGGGCAGCAGGATCCTGTGCGGCAGCTCAGATGCTCTGAAGAAACGAGTCTGTTTCTTCAGCACAGGAACAGGGAACAAAGACATCCACGGTGAATCTCATGTAGAAAATGCCTTGTGTGCTTTTCAAAGAAGACAATCAGTGAATAATTTATCTACTTTAAAAATGAGGCAGTGGAATGAAAAGAACACAAAGCTTCTTAGCTGCCTGGAACGAGTTGTATTACACATCATCACTGAATACCAGCAGCTGGTCTGGGCAGGAACGAGAATGAGGTCACAGCCTCTTTCTTCCTTGTCTTCCAGCATCAAGTGAAGAGGAGGCGGAGTAGAAGTGGGAAGAATAGCACAGCTGTGAAAGGTAAGGGTCTGACCTTCCACCCAGAGCCCCTACAAGGCAACCCTGACATCGCTGATTCCTGAGGGACCAGAGCCACATCTTGTAGATGTCACTGTCAGAGGCCTGAAGGGAAGGTTCCTGGGAAAGGAATCAGAATTCAGGGTACCTCTCAGGTTCCTGCTGGCAATGAAGCCATGACAGGCCAGGGAATGATGTCACCCAGAAGGGGGCGCCATGGGCTGGATTTGAGGTGAGACCTCCAGGTCCCGCTGTGGACAAGCCCTCTCACTTTCCTAAGACCAATTCCCCTTTGAGATGGTCCCCTCATTTCTTCCTTCTGGGGCTGTTTGGAGGACCATAGGGGATAACAATAATGCACTGCCTCTCTGTGCACCTTGCTGTCACTGTCAGGTTCATGTGGTTGGTCACTGATGCTTGGGCTCTGTAGTCCTATCCGCAACAGTCATCCCTACAGGAACATTCCACCCGGACTCCTTTGCCTCCTTTAAGATTCCCAGGCCCCTCCCTTCTCCATAACTCAATTTCCTGAATTTCAGCCTGCAGGGATTTTCTGGAGAACCTGACAGAGGCTCAGACTTGATCTTACTTACACAAGTAGGACCTCCCGCCTTCTCTCCAGTATCCTTCCTACCAGGATCTATGATGTGACTTCTGGGCCACAGAGCAGACATGGGTGGGGAGATTATGGAGGGATGTGACCGAAACCCTGGGGTCAAGGGTAGCAGAACTGTGAAGTCAGGGTGTGGGGCAGTGGAGGGGATGTGGCCTGCACGTGCCCACCTTTGGCAAGTTTCTGGGCCCTGTCTGCTCCTGGCCCCAACTTGTACCTCCTGTCTCCTTCAGAAATTTAAGGAACCTCTCTGATGAAGGCAGCTTGTATCAACTCTTACATGAAGAACACCCAGGGAAAGTGTGCAAAAGGACACCTGCTAAAGCCCACTGGTCAGGTGGGGAGCCTGTGGAAGATGCTGCCCTCATTCTGTTCCCATTGACTTCCCAGCTCCTCTGTCTAAATTCCCCTTGCTTCTTGCCTCTACCCTGTCACCAAACCCAGAAAACTCAGATTCTGTCTCTTCACACTCATCTCTGGCTTCCTCTCAGCCACCAGAGCATTTGCTTCCCCTAGGACACCATCCACCTAAGCCATTTGCACATCCCCTTCCTCCATTGTACCCCCCTAATCCTGTGGACTACTCTCCACCTTCTCCAGCCCTCTCTGCTCCACCACTGCCAGGCATCACTCTGACTCTGTCTCAGAGTCACTTGATGGCACTGCCACTGCATTCAATTGCATGGAGCTCATTTTCACATAATGACCAGGATGGCTGACCACACCCATCTGTGGGTGTGCTGGAGGGCACCAGGGCAGTGCTGCTCAGCACCTGGCATCCTGGCCATCTCAGTCTTTGATCACTGAGGATGTCCCTTCCCAGTCCACTGTTGGTGGCAGGTGGCTACCAGTGCCTTGCGCTTCCCCACCTCTACAGAAGGTAAGACCTGGAAAGAGCATCTTTCTTGCCACCCACCTGAGGCCTTGTTCTATGCAGACCCCTTCAGGAGCAGATGTAGCCTGTAAGTTCCTCTTTGCTCAGCTATGATGATCAGAAGTACCTCTGGTTACAAGTCACAAATGAAACCAAGGCCAAGGTTAGGAAGGAAAGAGAAAAAGGTGGATCATTCCCTGAACAAATGAGCCCAGAATATCACTTGAATTCTGTGGAGAATATGGTAGCATCACTGGGTCCTGAACAGGACCCCACAACTCCTCATTCCTTCTGGAAGGTGAAAGAGAAATTAAAACAACTGCTCTGTCCTCAGCACTCCCAGCTGCTAAGATCTTGGGGGAACCATAGTCAGGAGAAATATATATATCTATATATCTATATATCTATATATATATATATATAAAAGCGTCTTCTCTGGGGTCTCCCCTCTGTGCATAGCAAATCCTTGGTGGCTGCTGCCTGTACCTCTGGGAATTCTTGTGCCCTGCAGACCCCCTTGCTCTTATTCAGTGTAATCATGAATGTCTGTCCAATTGAAATGCAAAGTAAAGTGTCCCCATTGTTTTCCCAGGTCCAGTCCCTCCACCTGATGCCCCAACCTCAATCCTTCTTTCCATGCATTTCCAGCCCCCACCTCTGGGTCAGGTACAAACTCAGGCCTACCTCCATCTTCCCTAACCCTACTACCTTCTGCACCCCAGATAAGTGATCACAGAGCACCTTTGTCTACATGCCAGAGTAAATCATCATCTCTCACCCCAACTGAAACTGAACATCCAGAATGGACCTTCCTGAGGCATCAGTTAGGAAGAAGGTGGGCTTCACCTTCTGTGGAACAAAGATTTCAAGAAGTCTGCCATCTCCTTGCTCCCATATTTTTCCAAAATACCTGGGCAGACTCCATCCTTCCTGAGAATTTCCCCATTAGCAGTGACCTCCGAAGGCAACTGCAGCAACATATTCAAGAGTGGCTCATTCACCACCGCTGGGAATTACCTCAATGTATCCAAAAGTCTGTGGAACTGTTGCAGCCTCAGAACAAATCACCAGTGACATGTCAGGCAAAAGACAAGCCTGGCCTCACAACATCTTCAGTGTCTATGGGTGAATGCAGAAAGAACCCACAGGACATGAGATTACAGCTAGGCAAGAAGCCAGGCATGAAGCTGTGTCATTTCCTAGGGAAGGTCCCAGAAGATCCATCTAGAGTCTTGGAAAGCTCCCCAGTAAAGGCTTTGGGGGTGTCCTCTGAGAAGTCACAGAGACATTTGGCAAGGTCCTTGAAGAGTGACTCTGGAAATAATATATTAGGAAGCAGAGATAAGAACCTTCTAGAAAATATTCCTAATGTCCATTTGGGGGCAAAGTCTGGGCAGATCAATGAAGAGATGACTCCTGTAAGGGTGGGCCCATCCTGGACTACTGACACTCACCTGTCAAAAAGTTGGGAAACCTGTGTGAGTACCTCACAGGAGCTGACCTTCCTCAATCCATTCACTCAACAGGCACTGGATTCACATATTGTGAGGCACTGGGTGAAGCACAGATGGAGTTTACCCCTCAAGGTTCTCAAGTTCATAAATATCTTGCAAAAGGTTCAACCTGTATCTCTTCCACAGTTTGCCTGTCCCTCCTCAGCTGCTGGTGAATCTGGAGCTAATTCAGTATTTGAAGTTGCCAAGGTCCTTGGGAAACTACCTCAGACATATCCAGAAGAGAAGGTGATAATAAATGAGCCCATTTTCACATCAGCAGATTTTGGCTCTCTCTCCTCCCCTGCAGACAGAGAAATTGAGGGGACTCCAATAAGAATCACATCTACTGATGATCTCAGGCCTTCAGAGGCTCCTCCAACTGGGCAGGAGAGCAGACAGCCTTCTTGGACTCTCAACTGTCAGAGCAGGACTGTCCTGGAGGCAGAGAGAAGCAACTTAGAGGTCCCTTTACTCCCTCGAATATCGTTTGCTCGAGACTCAGGAGAGATCTGCCTTAAGACAGAGGTTGTTAGTGAGGAAGAGCACACAGAGGATGAAGAGTCAGTGAAGCGACTTCAAGTCCGTGCCCTTCATGATATCCTCATCAGCTGTTGTCTGGACATGCTTAATGCAGCAGAGTTTGTGGATTCCCAGATTCACAAGAATATGCCTGTTGGGGGCAAACAAGATTTCCAAGTGGCAAGTGAAACCATGGCAGTGAGAGGGAGCAGCCTGGAGCAGCAGAAGCCCAGGGTCCAGAAACATGAGGACTCAAGGAACAGCAAAAGTGAGATGCATGTCCATGCTTACCAAAGTGAGTGCTATAGGAGACCCAATCCAGAAAAGCCTAAAAAAAAGTCTAGAGACTTTGAAACTTCAACACTTACCTACATCACATGGAAAGAAGAACTCCTTCAGAGTGAATCCCCCCAGCTCCTGCTGAAAAGCACACAGGTTTCTCCAGTAACCTGCTTCCAAGCAACCACAAACCACTTTCGTCAATGGATTTGTCCCAATAGAAAAATCCAAAAGCAGGGAGATCCTCTGCAAAAATCACCCAGTTCTGAGAGCCAAAGACCAGACACAGACACACCATGTACAGACACATCATCTACCATGGCTGAAGCAGAGGGGCAGTTGGCACCTGCTGGGCAGCTAAAAGAGAAGAAAATGAAGCCCCACCATGATCTTTCTGCTTCAAAAGTAAATCAGCACAGAGAGGAACTCGACAGTTCAGTCTCTAGGGTCTCCTGTTGCCACATACCTTCCATCCTGTCAGAGCAGAGAAGTCTGAGCTATACAGCCTACAACCACAAAGCTACTCTCAAGTGTCAGAGTTGTCCCACTTGGCAAAGCCATGTGAGAGACCAACAGTCCTTTCAGAGAATGCAATTCAACAATGAAGGCCAGTGCCTGAGGCATCCCCATGTCTCACTATCAAGCAAGGCTGTGTCCCCAGTCAGTTCCTCCCAGCATGGGCCAGCAATGCCACATACTGCAGTCTACCATTCCCACTGCCAAAGGCACTGTCATTTTCAGGGATCTGGCTGGTCTGTTCATCCAGAATTTTGTTCTCTAGTTGTCCCTTGTAGGAAACATGTCTCCATGGAAAAACTTGGCCTCTGCAGAGAAAAATAATTTTCCTCATGTCAGTACCTGCAAGATATTTGATGTTCCTTAATATACATTTTTCCTCATAAGATGATAATGGCTAGTATATGTTCTGTGCGTGGGGTGGGCTTTGGTTTCCACAAGGGATGAGGCATGACAGGAGGTTGACAGTGTTGATAAAGCTTGTGTCTATCCCGAGATTCTTTGTTGCAACTTTGGCACCATGATGTCATCATTACCCAAACAAGAGCAATCAGAAACCAGATGAGAAAAACCTATGAATGTCTTACCCTAGTATTTGTTTCAACTCATCTCTCCACTCCTCCTTCTCTACTTGAAACTTTATGCAGTTATAGGGACAGGTGCATAGAGGCAAACTGGCCTGAAAATTCCCACACCAGGTTCCAGGAAGTGAAAGAGGTAAGTTGCTTCATGTATTACACAGTGGGATGAGTTTGAATGGGAGCTGCCAGGGCCTGAGTTTTAAGGCAAAATAAATCTTGATTTTGGATTTCCTGGTGAGGAATAGATGATGTCTGCCCCGGGAAACCCCTTTACTCTGCAGTAAAGACTGGGGTGGACTTGGGCACACTTAGTTCAGCTTTAATGACATGTAAAGGCTTTATCCCACTTCTTTTGTATTTCTCACATCCCAGAGCAGCAATGAAGACAGAACTTGAAGTTCTGTGTGTGTTCAGGCTACAGGTGCTTCAGCAAGGCTGATGGGGGCCATATCCAGCTCTGGTCCACCTGAATGAATGGCCCTGCTGCTACATACTTTCTCTCCCATCAGAGAAGAGAGGGCTGAGCTATGTAGATATCCACCCTGGTCTATCTCAGATTGAGAAAGTTATGGATGAATGTAGCAGAATGTAATTGTGTGTGCAGTAACATTCTGACACTTACTAGATGAAGCGTGGGAAGTGGGACAGTAATTGTGCAAGTGGAACCAAGGAGGGAGGCCAAGAGGTGTGTGGGAACCATAAATGGTGCAGTCCACAGGAAAGCCCTGACCTCTCTACTATCTACAGGTATAGAGGAAAGGGGACATGAGGTACTCAGTGGCCCATCCCAATCCCAATTCAGGTCCTCACCTGCTCCGATTCTTGGAACACAAAAGTGGACAAGCCACCTTTAGCTCTGACACACAGGGTGAGACTTGAGATGATGAAAAATTTGAAACTATTAATTTCTTAAGAATATATTTGATTAGCTTGCATGCTGCAATCTCTTGAATTCTAGACATAATGAGTTGATAAAATGTAGAAGAGCATGAACTAGAAAATTCAGGATATGAATCCAAGTGTGGTGTCCTTTACATCTTTATGTGGCTCCACATCTTAATTTCTCCTTACTAAAACAAAATACTTAAGGCAGCTAACTTGTAATGAGTGGAGGGTTGTTCAGCCAATATTTGGAGGTTCAAAGTTAAAATAGCTTTGGCTCTGGAAGGGGCCCTAGGTGGGTGGCAAAGTGTGTGCAGATGGAAGATCGCATTATGAGACAGGATGAAGAGAGTGCAGTTGTGCCCAAATTCAGCTTTTATATCAATTCTGCTATGAGATCTCAGTAGCTCATACCTTTCTAGAGCACAATGACCTAAGTATGTCCCACTTTGCCCTACCTCCTAATGAGTTTATCATTTCCCCAAAGTGCCACCCCAGGGATCAAGAACCTAATGTATGTTCTTTTGGGTAATATTCAATATACAAATTAACAGCAAGCCATAGCACCTCGGGATTGCTGCCATGGGAGAAGTGGGAACTTAAAAGTGATGAGCTCTGACCTAGGATCACAAAGTAAGTCTCTCTGGCCTCCGATTCCTTTCTTATCTCAGAGTCCTTCAGAAGAAAAGACAATTAGACAAGATTCTATATAAGATACTGGAAATGACCTGTTCCAAATGGTCAGGAAGAGTGGAGATGCAGGCAAGGAATGGTCCCTTCTCTCCCGTTACTCTGTTTCCAGCACAGATTTCCTCTTCTGGAGACACTTTCCACATGAGAAAGCAGGAGTACCCAGAAAAGCAGGGACAAGAGTAGCATGGAGAATAAGAGCTATTTTTCTAGAGGGAGTTTTCTATGCTACACCATAGGTAGGGCATGTAGTAGGCACAGCTCCAAAGGCATCACTGCCATGGTAGATTCAGATGATGATGGGAATTAACTCCCCTGCCACACACCTGGTGGGACCCTCACAGGCTGGACTAGGATGGAGGTAGAGAAGGCACCTCTCATGCCTGCCTGTTGGTGCTTAATGTTTTGCCTGGAGCCAGGTCCCGATCTCAGTGGCTGGTGATGAGTCAGCAGACTACAAGGTGGCACCACCAATGAGATCAGAGTCAGGAGCATCAGGAGGGGCTGGAATCTGGAGAGAGTGGGCACAGTTCATTGGGAGCTTAAGAAACAAAGTCACTGCCTGGCTGCTGTGGGTTCTTTGGGGACACTAGAATTGAATTAAGGAATACGGAGGGGCTGGGAACCTCAGGGCTCCTGCCAGGAGATACACTATAAATGGGCAACACAGATGGATGTGGAAGGAAACCAGGAAGGAGCAAGTTCTTTCTCCCTTCTATGGCTCAGTCTCCCACAAGGTGCCATGAGGCCAGCAATGAAAAGATTCACAGAGATCTCCCAAGGAACCTCACATAGATATCTCACATGGTGACAGCATCCTGAGACCTCTTAGTACCACACAGAGACATGAAAGGAAGCAACCCACAGAGACCCTTCCCAGTACCTCACACATCTCTCAGGGACCCCACCTCAGAGATTTCCCAAACAGCTCTCCCACAAACATCTACAAGAGACCCAGTACAGAGACCTGCAGAAGACTTCTCAGAGACCTCGCAGAGACCTTCCTCAGATTGCAGACTTTCCACAGTCCTCACCACACAGGAGCCTGCTGGAGGGCTCACACACAAACCCACAAAGACCTTTTGTGGGCACCTCACACACAGTGAACCCAAGTGAGCTAGCACACAAAGGCTTCCCATAGAGGTCCGGCATAGAGGCCAAGCACCAGAAGCCTGCCCAGGGACCTCCCAGGCACAATACAGAGTGAGATGTCAATGACACATGACAATTAATGTCCACATGACAATGGGTTAGAAATGAAACTGCAATTAACATTGCACTGCTGTTTAGAATTAGGCCAAGATCAAAACATCTTCACAAGTCAAATATATCACAACACACTTCCCATTACTAGGAATTTTTCTATAAACAACATTTTTAAAAGATTTATTTATTTAGTTAGTTATTTATGTGAAAGGCAGAGTTACAGAGAGGCAGTGGCAGAAAGAGAGAGAGAGAGAGAGATCTTCCATCCACTCATGCACTGGTTCACTCACCAGATGGCCACAATGACCATAGCTGCACAGATCTGAAGCCAAGAGCCAGGAGCTTCTTTCAGGTCTCCCATGTGGGTGCAAGAGCCCAAGCACTTGGGCAATCTTCCACTGCTTTCCCAGGCCATAGCAGAGAAGTGGATCAGAAGTGGAGCAGCCAGGACTTGAACCGGCACCCATCTGGGATGCTGGCACTGGCAGTGGCTTTACCCAGTATACCACAGCACTGGCCCCTATGAACTTAACATTTAACATAATGGTTATTGTAGTCTGTTTGTTTTAAAAAACACCTGGGCTCAACTTATTTCCTTTCCAAACATGTACTTCTGTAAAGTTACCACATTATTGGCATTTCAAGTTTAGTACTTACCAAACATTAAAAATTCACATTAATATTCCATATTTTCCTTTTACTCTTCATAGATATATGAAACAAAGAAACGAGTAATAATAAAGAGTAAAGGGGTACACTGTACTTTAAAATCAACTTAGATTATTGGATATATTCAGTATAAAGCTAGGCATTATTTAAATACAGCATCCAGAATTATTGTAGTCCATGAGTCTCTGGACCTTTCAATTTGGAGTTACTTTGCAACTCATAAAACGTGCGAAATGGAAAGTAAGCAAATGTCTGTGGTTCACATACATGCCAACGATAATCTTGTGAAAAAAGGAATGCAGAGATGAAACTACATCCAAATGCAAATCTGACAAAATCTGTTAATATCCACAAGGAGAGGGAGGTTAATTGTCCCTTCTCTAGCCAGAGTTTGCATTACTATGGACAGTTATGATTTGTATTACTATTAGTTTTTATAAATGGACCTCTTTAATGCTATACTATTAGTTTTTATAAATGGACCTCTTTAATGCTGTGGGCATGTAAAATGACCTATTCAAATGTAATTTCATGTCTGCATTCCTTTTTCTGACAAGAAATGTGTGGCATGTGATGCCCAGTTCGGTGGTCCCCAAAGACCATCAAGGAGCCGTTACCACTGTAAAACACACAAGAGTTTTATTACAGGCCCTGGTCTGGTCTCTCAACTGTCACTGGTGCAGCAGATCTAAACTGAGAGCCTAGACTCTTCATTTAACTAGGTTTTATAGGGTTTCCAGAGACATTCTATACCTTATAGCACCATTCAGCAAATCATCTCATTCCACTGGAAATTCAAAGAACATCTCTTAAAATTGATTAGTGCATCCAGCAGCTGGAATGGAACTTGTAAATGTGGTTGGATGGTTTTTGGGGTCGATGCCTTTTAAAACTATTGGCTAAGGGGATTCCAATTCAATCAAGGTGGCATGTACCAATGCCATCTCACTAGTCAAGATGATCAGTTTCAGTTCAGAATTGATCAGAATGATAGGATTAAGAGTCAAAGGGGGGCGGCACCACGGCTCACTAGGCTAATCCTCCACCTGCAGCACCAGCACCCAGGGTTCTAGTCCCGGTCGGGGTGCTGGATTCTGTCCCGGTCACTCCTCTTCCTGTCCAGCTTTCTGCTGTGGCCCGGTTGTGCAGTGAAGGATGGTCCAAGTGCTTGGGCCCTGTACCTGCATGGGAGACCAGGAGAAGCACCTGGCTCCTGGCTTTGGATCAGCATGGTGCGCCAGCCACAGCGCGCCAGCCGTAGCGGCCATTGGGGGGTGAACCAACGGAAAAGGATGACTTTCTCTCTGTCTCTCTCTCTCACTGTCCACTCTGCCTGTCAAAAAAAAAAAAAAGAGTCAAAGGGATCACATAAACAAGACTAGTGTCTGCTAATACTAACTGATATAATTAAAAAGGAGAAAACGATACAACATGGGAAGTGGGATACACAGCAGACTCATAGAATGGCAGATATCCTAAACAGCACTCAAGCCTCAGAATTAGCCCTTAAGGCATTCGGATATGGCTGAAGAGCCCATGAGAGTATTTTAGGCATGGAAAGTCAAGATGCTCTGGCAAAACAAAAACAAAAACAGAAAACAAAAACAAAAACACCTAAATGAAAGATCTCTGCGAGAGGAAAGAACAGGCCATCAAAGAAGGAGGTAAATTTCTCTGAAGGGAGGAGACAACTTCCACTTTGACTAAGACCTTATCTAAATAAGATTGGAGTTGGCAAACTCAAAAGGCTTCCATAGTCTTGGCAGCTCATGATAAGAGC